GGCTACTCAACGCCGGAGCGTCAATGGTGCTTTCGTGATGAGGTTAATATAAAAGCGGGATCACGTATGGATTGGCAGGGCAACCCACCAGAGAATGGTCTCATTCCAGACTCACGTTGACTCCCCGCGGTGATTTTTTGCCGGAAGAATGAACCTGATCAGTTACCGTCTGCAACACATGGGTTCCTTCTTCTGAGTTTATTGATGTGCCGAGACGTACGAGCACTCAGGATAATACTTCCGATGGCAACCGGCATGTGTATGGTACGACGAAACCTAGGTCCGTTCAAGGTATGGTGTTAAACTTCACTTCAGAATTCACAGCTCATCGCCGCAGTGAAGGTTTCATCAAAAATAGTAGTTATCGAAGTCACGACCACACGAAAGGAAGTAGACTAAAAAGAATGATGACTTTCATTTCCTCAAACACCGTGGCTCGTCCTTCTATATCCCGGGTACCGTTCCATGACTGAGCGATCGATGGATCGAAGCTCGGGGCACGTCAGGCTGGCGAGGAGCGGTCCCACTGCGTCCAAGATCTTGGTCACAATATTGTCAACAATTCCTGCCAGCCCGCTCAACGCGTCCGGCACCAGGATCTGTAGCGCCTGGTACGCGAAGCACGCCGCGTTGTCGCCTTCCAACAACATCGCGGCGTTATAGACACCGCCCGTCAGGTTGTGGATGTCGATCGGCGCGTAGGTGTTGACGCCGTTGATGTTGCCGCCGATGAGGAGGGTTTCCGGGAAGCGGAGCCACATGGCAAGGAAGTCGGGGATGACGTGGACCGCGGTGTACTCGTCGAGGAAGGGGCGGCGGTACCAGTTGTGGGGAATGCGCTCGTGGCCGGGCGTATATGTCAAGGTCCCGTTCGCGGAAGTGTTGATGGAGTAAATAGACTTGAGGACGTCGCCCGTGAGATAGCCGTTGGGGTGCTCGGCGGAGTGGTTCGACATCAGGGCGGGTACGAAATTATGTGCGAGGCAAGAGATTAACTGTGCAAATGGGGTCATCGGATGATAAACAGCAGAACTTTGGGACGACTCACCATCTGTACTGGACCATAGAAAAAGTACGGGTTCTGAGCGACGGACTGCCGAACGCGGTTGACCCTGTGTTGTTGGATAATACCGAGATTGTAGTCTGAAGAAGGTCCGACGGGCTGTAGGTTGTACAGCCCTTGGAAATATGGGAGCTGCACGTGGTAATTGTCGCCGCTATACGATCCAACATCAGCTTTAGCATGGCACGAAACCATACGACGTACTTGAACTGATAGTAGTCGCCACGCGCAACGGAAGAGTCGCTTTCGAATTGGTTGTGCGTGCCCGATAGCCCCGTCGGATATCCTGTGTGGGGATTTAACGTTCGTAACGACATCGCGACGATTTACTCGCCCACAATGCCGAGGCCCCCAAGGATCCCGCCGAGAACGCCAGAGTTTGTTGGCCCGGCAATTGAAAAGGGGAAGTCAGGCGAAAGTAGATCGGCTCCGAACAGTGCGAGCACCGCGGCGAGCAGCGCAGTGTCGAAGCCCAGCCCGTATACTGGTCGATTGAGTATCGGATAACATTGAAAAGAGGACGGGTAGCTCACTGCGTTCGGACTGAGCAATAGCAGTGGTGAAGGTAACTACGCCGTTATGAGGAATGAAGTTGTGGTTGGCCATGGCGTTCAGTCCCGGACAAGGGCCGCGGAGATCGCCGTCTCCAGGTGGCTTGAATGAATTCGCGCCAGTGACATCGATGAGCTGCTCCGTACTGAATCCACCAAGTGTGCGATTGGCAAGGCTGGCGGTACGACCTTCAAAGTAGCTCGGAGGAAATGCAGCGCACGGATGTGCGACCACAGCAAGGGCGATCACAAGAGAGAAGGGACGCATGAGTAGGTGAATTGGGCTGGAACCTGCAACAGCGCACGCAACCGCTTTTAAAGGACGTCGTCGGGGACTATGAGCCGGTCCAGCATTGGCGTTGAGTCCGTTGAATCTAGCGAATCGCCTGCTACAATTGCGCAAGAGTATTCTTTGTGGAGCCCATCGGTACTGGAATGTTGGCGAGCAGGCGGAAGATATGCCCCGGGCGCTTGGCAAGCACGATTACCCAGGTGCAACGCCGAGATACCCGACACCACATGGCTGAAGCTTTATCTTTATGCATTCTGGACGCCGGTTTGAGAAGCGATCGGGTGGCGTTCAAGTAAAGAGAGGTGGATTTCGCCGTGGATTTAAGCCCGGTGAAAAAATAGGACAGAAAAGGCACAAAACCCGTTGGTCTGGCACTGAGCAGGCCCCGAGTAGAAACACAGAGGTCGAAATAGGATCCCGATGAGCCCGATACAAGCCAGATGACGGACTGACGCGCACGCCGTTGCGGCAACAGGTGGGCTGTTGGCGGGCAGCAATGACCGGATGCTTCGTTTGTCGCAGCTCCCCAAAAGCACGAAAGGTCCGCCTCCACGGGAAGCAGTTGTTGAAGAGCCAGAGCCTCGGAGAACATAGAAGTGGAGAGGAACGGTTTTGTCAAGTGTGGGCGTGTTTGGCCGGGATCTTCCGGCCGGCAGATCATCCGATCATCACTGCGGGCGATCGTTCACAGAATCGACAATGGTGGAAACACCCACAGCACAAAAAAGAAAGGGTATCTAGGTTTTTTCAGCGCGCTGAGCTTATAACTACCTGGAAATCAGCCGAAAAAAATGCTAAGTCCATTCCCCCTTTCGACTTGGTGCATTTTTGCCAATTTGCTGCCTCTCATTTCTTTATCCAAAACAGAGTGCTTCGGGTACAAAAGGGTGAAGTTTGGGGGACGTAAAAGGATAAAAACATGACCACCGCAGGGGTCGAACCTGCAATCTCCGTCGATTCGGCGCCTGGAGCCCCTGACGTGAGGAAGCGTAGAAAACAAAAAATTCAGGGCCATCGAATAGAGTATTGTAATGGAGGATTTTTTTAAAATAAGCGCCCCGCGAGGCATGCGCCGACATCGCCGAGCTATAGCGAGGCACCGATCAGCGCCGCAGGCGCGCACCCCCGCACACCGTGCGCCACGCCCCGCCCGCCGTCTGCACCGCCACCATCAAATCTTTCACATCGACCCCTCTCCGTCGCTGTCAACGTTCTCCTCGCCGCTGTCAACGTCCTGCTCACCCTCGTGCTCACCGCGCTCACCCTCGTGCTCACCGTCGTCCCCGCCATCACCCCGCCTCTCGGCAACTGCCGGCACCCGGATCATTCCGCTTTTGCACGTGTACATTGACACGTCCTGTCGTCCCCATCCTCCCGCCCGATCTGCGTCACGCTCATCGCCGTCCCGTCGTGCCGCCGTCCCGCTCCCGCCGACCAGTGCTGGCGACGCCGCGGTCTCGTCGCCTCCCTTGTCTTGTGCATTCAACACCATTTCTTGGTGACTTCCCCACACTCCAGTCAAGTCGCGCCGTCCGTCGCGCCCAATCTGCGTTAAAGCTCGCCGGCTCGCCCCCCTCGTCTCCCACCGACCATTCTTGGCGACGGCGCGCTCCAGTCGCCTTCATGTCTTTTACGTATTCAACCCCGTTTGGTTCTACACATCGCACTCCTGGTTTCCAGCCGTCAATCTACGTGTTCCCAAGCCCAGCTGTACTAAAGGGCTCGACACACTCCTCAAGCCTCCTCTCCCTAGTCTTCGTGCCGCACCATTTATCTTACCTTGCTTTCAACCACGTCAAGGACCCATAACCAACGCAAGACTTTCGTCCGGATCACCGTTCGATTCGCATCATGTATCTCTTTTGGGGGCCTATTTGTATCTTTTCTCGCTCAGAAGCTGGGCAACGCTCGCGAATCCGTGTATCGCAGCGTCTCACAAAAACTGCATTCAGCTGGTTCGAAACTCCGCTCGCGCGTATTAGGTAAATATTAAATGACCGCATTCCATAGATATCATCTTGCGCAACCGGGGTTGTTCAGCCCTTTGCACCAGGTCCCCAAGCACGCCTCCAACCTTGTGAGTAAGGTGAGAACTTTCTTCTGATCCTTCCCTGCCATCGCTTTCGTCACAGTCACGCCAGCCCCGCACCTTTCCCTCTTCCACCATGTCTGCAAGATCGTCCACGCGTACCCGTCGAGTACGTGCAAGATCGTCCACATTCTACCTGACACTAACACAAGTTTAGGCGACAGTACAACCCCAACTGGTCCGCCAGGTAAAAAATCTCCCGTTGTCCATCCTCGCAAAGCTCGTGCCTTTCGTCTGGAAGGACAGCCCAGCCGCGGTCGACGAGCAGTCCCCCAAGAAGGTTCGCTCTTCATCCATCTGCCTCCACGCAGTCTCACATTGGCACAACCAGACGAAAGCCCGCAAAAGGAAGACCAAGGACAACGATGCGAAGACCGACGACCCGAAGAACGACGATGATACCTTCAATCCCGTGTCTGGCGAAGCAAGTAGCGCGGACGATGACGACGACGAGCCGGTGAGTCTCTAGGATCCATCTGCTTTCTTTTTCCTAACGCGGCGGACGCAGCCTAAGAAGAAAGGCAGGGTTATTTTGATTCCTTGTTTTTGTTTGACCCGATCCAACGATCCGTTCTCTGTAGCCTACCACGGCGAAAAAAACAACGGCGGCCAGCGGCGCCAAGAAAACCACCACGACGACGGAGGTAAAATCGATTCACTCAAACAATATAGATGTCCACTCATTCCACTTTCAGCCCAAAACCCGTAAAACCGTCGTCAAAAAGAACACCGGAGCCGCGTCAAAGCCAGCGGCAAGGTCGGCCCCCGTCCTGTCGGTGCGTCGCCTTTCAAGACTTGTCGCTGCGCACCATCTTCATCATGTATCAATGGCGTCGACCGTTGTACTTGTATGAAGTCGTTTACACGAGACTTCGTCTTTAAAGCATACAACGGTTCAGTTTAGTCCTTATCTTTTCCCGATCCCGGCTGCCTCTAAATGTCATTGAAAAATGAAGTTTGCGATCTAAATCCTGCAGACGGAAGCTCGGAGTCTAAAGCAAAAGCTGACCGACTCAGGGGTCGAACCTGAAATCTCCTGATTACATAAGCAAGGAGCATATCGTAGTCAGACGCGATGCCATTTCGCCAGCCGGCCGATATACAATTGGGTTTTGATGGTGTCAAGTCGCGGCGCACCCTGTACAAAATTCGCGGACGTGTGCAACGAAAGTTCCGTGGTTGAAATTACGTAATAACTTTCGTAGTCAGACGCGATGCCATTTCGCCAGACGGCCAATGGTAAGGGCAACTTTGATGGCTAAGTGAGTGTGACGGAGAGCAGCAGTCGGCTGCTAGTTCCGGCACACGAGAGGGATCGAGGTCGTTGGGGCAGTCAGTTCCAACGAGGTGAGTGGCGTATATGATAGTATTGACTGGGGATTAACTACGGGGATCACAGGTTTATATACTACGGAAAACGGGGGATCATATCGAAGGCATGTCATGTTCTGGTCATGGCCGTAGCGGCGAATCGAGGCGAGTCTGGGAAAATAGGGAATGTCGGGCAACGTGCGACAAAGTAGGAATTCAACCGTTACAGTGAGGCGCGGCTGCATGGATGCCAAAGTCTTTGCACCAGGCCCCAACTCGCCTCCGGTAAGTTACTTCCAGAGTTCAAACTTACTCGCAGTAAAGACATTGAGCTGCGTGATCACCACCCAGTGGCTGGTTAATTGTACACAGGCGTTCGAAGCAGTTTCAGCATGTAACTCGAGTCTCCGATCTCACCTGAGCCATCTACGGAAGTTGGAACTCCAAATTCAGGTCCACCAAGGTATTGAATAGCAACGAACACAAGTGCGCAACCCGGGCCTTCAATTTTTATATCGCAGGCTTACTCACTCGAGATGATCCCATTCCTTATGTATAAATTTCCTTTCTTTATGTGGGTGAGCCCGACGACCGCAGATGATCGGATTAATCCGTTCCGTTACTTTGTGGGCAATAGGATTTTTATTCTACTACAAATTGTGTAATCCTAAGTCATGGTCTATCTAAGTAATCTACAAGTAATGTAAAGCATGGTTGGAGTGTATCAGTGTTGCGGTTAAGGGTTAGGGCCTAATTAAGGGTGGCCCTTAATAAGGCCTTAATATTAGGGCCTAATATCGCCGGGAAAACTTCTTAAGCCCTTATTTAACCCTTAACATAGTAAATGTAAATTGATGGTAAACTCTCTGGGTAGTGCTTTGGCGAGATTGTTACCGCTCTCAAGTGGTTCCGGTTACAACTAGACTTACAAGCAATAGAATAGTACCTCAAATGAATGGTCAGAAAAAAACATGTGTTGAGCTTTGGGTTCGGTGTCCTCCGCCTGCAAGGACCGTGGGAAACTTGGATTAGGCCTTAATTAAGGGTACCCTTATTAAGCCTATATTAAGGTGTTAAGGCCTTAACAAAAATTTCAGCCCTTAATAAGGGCTTAAGCCGCAACACTGGAGTGTATCTGCATAAGAAAGTCAGAAACGGAATTGCGGGGGAGGAGGGGGATAGGATAGGGTAGGATAAGATAGGGTAGGATATGAACCCTCGCGAGATGCCCTCCCAAACTTAAACTTTTTTTTTCAAAAAAGTGAGACGGACATTATATTTGCAAATTGCAACCTGATACCAAATTACGTAATGAATATCGTAGTCAGACGCGATGCCATTTCGCCAGGCGGCCATTGAGTATTGGCGAAATTGATCATTTATGACCATACCGCAGCCCTGGTACGGACTCGGACATCTTGCTCACCTCAACCGCGCTGTGAACTACTGCCCCGAACAGTCGAAGCTGGAGAGGTTAATTATCATGAAAAGCAGGTAAGTACTTACCCTGTCGGAGCCACCACGGATCGTCGTATGTAAGCGTACTTGTCTATATAGTATAGACATGCACTTGAGAGGTCTGTCAACTGTGAGGCGCGCAAGACCGGTGAAATATCTGGGTATACTGTATTTTTCAAAGGTGCCAAAATACCTCCTACTTGACCTTAAGTTCTCAAAGTCGCATACCGTGCACGGTTCAACGACTCCGACTGGAATGCAAACTGATCCAAGAAATAATCAAGCGCGTCGTTTTTCAAAGTGGTAATTTAGGCCTCGGCATTCCAAAAACCACGTTCATACTAGAGCACGAAGAGTGCCCAAAGAGTGCCCATCCCTTGAACGTCCGTCTTGCCGAAACTATGTGGGAAGAAAACTCGGCTGACTGTGGGAACTACTAATGATTGACATCCTCTCTTGCTCCAAACGTCCATGAGCCCCGTTTCCCCCCTCAAGTTAGAGCACCAAACCTCCGAGTGCAACTGTGCAAGTACTGCGGCTCCACCTGTGTCACGCGCTTGAGGCTGGCTTTGAAGCTCGTTTTCCCATCCATCCATGGCGATCGACGCAACCTGATAGTCTCGACTCTCGAAGCGCTCTGGGCTCATCAACCTCTCTGCGACTGCACTTTGCGCGTCTTCTAAAACGCCGCTCCAACCATGAATGGGTGTATACGCGTTCAACCTCCCGACTTCCAACTCTCTTTGTCGCTCTCACACTCAGAGCTATTTCGCAAATATGAGCCTGGTCAGCAGGCCGATAAGACCGGTCAACCCTTGCTTCCCAGTCGACCTTTGCGCACCTGGGATTATGCAAGACTTCCTCCGCAAGGTACTGGCGGAATGCCCGCGCCTTTCGACAATGGTGATCACCTGTTTGTCTATCTCTCAACGCAAAGCCGCAGATGGATGTCGCTCAAGGTCTAAAAGCTTCTGATCCATCTATGACGGACCAGGGCGCTAAGTGTAGTGCGGATTACACTCAGACGGGGCTGGAAATTTGGGCGCCCGAAGACAGTCATGGCCGCTGAGGCCTTTCTGCCTAGAAAGAGATGGCGAGATCGACAGTACGTCTCGTACTAGATGAATCTTGATTTGGCCAAGAGAGAGTATGGACGACACTGATGCGCTACGCTAGGTACCACGGAGGATTCATGGAGGGTTTCTGGAGGTGCGCCCCGCTACTATCGAATATCTGCTCTAACAACTCGCCCTTCAGCAAAATCAACCGCACCTACCTGCGTTTCGTTCCCGCTCCCTCATAAATGCTGAATGACCTGGCTAACTCTCGGGCCCGATACATATCTAGCAACATGCACGCATGTCTGCGGTTTAGATTGCTAGCTATTGTCGATTGAAGGTCGAGGGGTGCGCTGTGTTCAATAGACTCCATCGGTCTCACTCTGCCGCTTTTTTTTTGTGATCGAAAGGTTGCATTCCACTCCACAGGTGGAGTGCAGACCTACGGGGATCAGCGGAGTCAGCGGAAAGGCTCGGCAGCGCCCACTGGCAGCTCATTCATCGTGGTCAGAATGAGAGTTCACCGACATTCTTACAGCGAAGAACGGGGCCTCGAGCTCCATTCTCCACCATGTGAGCTCCACGGCAGGCCCGCTAGTGGATTTGCGCACATTCACAGATTCAACAACGTGCCCCCGGAAGAATGCAAAGACTTCTGTGATATTCAGGAGCCGCGGGAGCGATCGCTCGATCTGCGGAGCGGTAAGACAGCGGATGTAGAAAAAGTCTCGTCTCCTTGCTTGTCCCCTGTTCATCCCCTGTCCGCTCACGTATAAAACAGGCGCACCGCCCCCACTAGAATCACCGCCTCGAGTGACCCTCCACATCTCACTTACTCACACCCACCCCATCAAATGCCTTCCTTCGCTCCCGATGTCGAGAGGGGCATGCCCATGCACGCTATGACCTTGGCTCTACCACGCAACGCATTCGTCCCACAAGACAGTGCCCCATCCACGCCTGCGCTCGAGAAAGACGCCGTACTGTCGATGCCCACCATGGAGAAACAGAACGCTCCCGCGCTTGCCTTCCCGACGAAGAAACGGTCGACGACCAGCCGGTTGATCAAGTTTCAGCTATGGTTTAACACGTATAGGTGCGTCCCCACATCCACATCCTTCCGCAGCATGCTAACCCTAGGCGCACCACAGAAAATTCTTCACCCTCATCGTCTCTTTGAATCTCGCTGCATTGGTTCTCGCCGCCACCAACAAATGGGAATACCCCAGAAGATTCACGGGCGCATTCGTTCTGGGCAATCTGCAGTGTGCTATTTTGGTTCGGAATGAATTGTTCGGTCGGTTCTTGTACCTGGCAGTCAACACCCTTTTTGCACAGGTGCGCGCGTTTCTACCCATCGTCGAATCATACTCACTGATCATTGCAGTGGCCGCCGCTCTGGCTCCGTCTCGGCCTCACATCAGCGCTTCAGCATCTCGGAGGGGTGCACAGCGGGTGCGCCACGTCTGGCGCAGCTTGGCTTGTCTATCGCGTGGTCCACATCGGCACTCACTATGATCGTTACCCTACCTCTATCGTCGCTGCGGGAGTCGTCACCACTGTTGCTGTTTTCGTCTCTATGGCTTCCGCTGTACGTCCTCGTCTCCTCCTACTTGTTTTCGTCATTAACTCTTCTCCATAGATTCCTTGGGTGCGCAACACTCACCACAACATCTTCGAATTGTTCCACCGCGTCGTCGGGTGGATCGGGCTTATATCAACTTGGGCCTTCGTCGTCCTCGGCGACTCCTACAATCACCACACGCACTCTTGGGGCTCGAGCGGCATTCGGATGATTAGCCATCAGGACTTTTGGTTCGCAGTTGTCATGTCTATCTTGTGAGTGCACCCCCTCTTTCCTCGCACACATACTAATTGTACATGCAGTGTCATCACTCCCTGGCTCACCGTGCGCCGCGTGCCCGTCCACATTCAACTGGTGCGCAGCCCTATCCATTTTTCGATAATTTGAGCTAATACTCAGTCTCTCAGCCGTCGCCCAAAGTCGCCGTTTTGCGTTTCGACCGCGGTATGCAGCAGGGTCTGCTGGCCAGGATCTCCCTGGGTTCGCAATTGGAATACCACGCGTTCGGAATTATCTCGTGCGTCTCATTCCTTCTCGGACGATCCAACGCTGACCGCTGTACAGTAAAGGCAAAGGGTCCAACGAGCATTACCTCATTTGCGGTGTGCAGGGCGATTTCACTAAATCCCTCGTTCAGAACCCGCCGACGCACATGTGGACGCGTCAGCTCAAGGTTCGTTTCTC